ACACCCTTGTCCCCACATCTCCTTGCCCCTCATCCCCCCACCCCTCACCTCCCCCCGTGTCCCCGATATCCCCACATCCCCTCAATTCCCCCCTCTTTTCCCCCCCAACCCCCTCACTCCCTACAGGAGCACAACTTCATCAAACGCTACGAGACGCTGGAGGTGGACGTGGCCTCGTGGTTCAAGGACGTCATGGCCCGCACAGAATCCCCACGCAGCGCCGGCGGCCTCAGCCAGCACCACCTGCCCTTCTTCACCAGGTAGCACCCGTGCCACCCCCCCGTGCCACCCCCCACCTCCGTGATGGCAGCCCCGTGTCACCCCACACGGCCACGGCGCAGCCCGGCGCGTCCTGCCGTGTCCCCAGCACGTCCCAGTAGCTCCCAGTTCCTCTGGTGTGGGCTGGAGCGTTGTGGTGCATCCCCAGTATATCCCAGTATGTCCCAGTACGTCCTGGTGTTTCTCAGTGCAACCTGGCACATCACGTCCTCGTGTGTCCCAGTGTGTCCCGTCCCAGTATGACCCAGTACATCCCAGTGTGTCCTGATGCCACCTGGCACATCACATCCTCCTGTGTCCCAGTGTGTCCCATCCCAGTACCTCCCAGTACCTCCCAGTACCTCCCAGTGTGTCCTGATGCCACCTGGCACATCACATCCTCCTCTGTCCCAGTGTGTCCCATCCCAGTATGTCCCAGTACATCCCAGTGTGTCCTGATGCAGCCTGGCACATCATGTCCTTGTGTATGTCCCATCCTATCCCAGTATGTCCCAGTATGTCTTGATGCCACCTGGCACATCACATCCTCATGTATCCCATCCCAGTATGTCCCAGTATGTCCCAGTATGTCCCAGTATGTCCCAGTATGTCCCAGTATGTCCCAGTATGTCATGATGCCACCTGGCACATCACATCCTCATGTATTCCATCCCAGTATGTCCCAGTATGTCTTGATGCAGCCTGGTACATCATGTCCTCGTGTGTCCCATCCCATCCCAGTACCTCCCAGTACCTCCCAGTTTGTCCCAGTATGTCTTGATGCAGCCTGGTACATCACATCCTCATGTATCCCATCCCAGTATGTCCCAGTATGTCTTGATGCAGCCTGGCACATCACATCTTCATGTGTCCCAGTGTGTCCCATCCCATCCCAGTATGTCCCAGTATGTCTTGATGCCACCTGGCACATCATGTCCTTGTGTGCGTCCCATCCCAGTATGTCCCAGTATATCCCAGTACCTGTGTCCTACTGCCCCCTGGCCCTCTCCCCCCTCCCACACTGAGTGACACCAGGACAGGGGACACCCCCGTCCCCAGCAGGGTGACACGTGCCTCAGTTTCCCCACTGTCCCCATTCCTAAATGGGGACAGAATGGGGACGGGACGTGGCACGGGGACACCGGCATGGAGTGTGACACGGGGATGGAGGTGACAAAGGGATGTGACAACGGGGATGGAGGTGACACAAGGGGACACAGCTGCGGGGACGTGGCACGCCAGGATGTGACACCGGCACACAGCTGTGTGCCACGGGGATGTGACACAACGTGGGGACGTGGCACGGGGACACACGGAGATGTGACATTGGCACTGTGGCACGGGGACACCGAGGGGCGGCGGTGACACCAAGACGTGGGGACACGGCAAGGAGAGGTGACAGCGCTGAGATGGCACCAGGATGTGAGACGGGGATGAGGTGGCACTGGGATGTGACATCGTGGGGACAAGGCACTGGGATGTGACATCGTGGGGACGTGGCACGGAGGTGGCACTGGGATGTGACATCGTGGGGACACGGCACGGAGATGGCATGGGGACGTGGCACAAAGATGGCACTGGGATGTGACATGGGGACATGTGACATCATGGGGACACGGCACGGAGGTGGCACTGGGATGTGACATCATGGGGACACGGCGCAGAGGTGGCACTGGGACGTGGCACCAGGGTGGGACACGGCGCAGAGGTGGCACTGGGATGGGGACACAGTGCTGAAGAGTGACACGAGGATGTGACACGGAGAGGTGGCTTCGGGGACACGGATGTGACATGGAGAGGTGGCTTTGGGGACACGGCGTGAAGAGGTGGCTTCGGGGACGTGGATGTGACACGGAGAGGTGGCTTTGGGGACACGGATGTGACACAGGTGGCTTTGGAGACGTGGATGTGACACAGAGAAGTGGCTTTGGTGACATGGTGTGAAGAGATGGCTTTGGAGACACGGATGTGAAATGGAGAGGTGGCTTTGGGGACACGGATGTGACACGGAGAGGTGGCTTTGGGGACATGGATGTGACACAGGTGGCTTTTGGGGACACGGATGTGACACGGAGAGGTGGCTTTGCTGACACAGCATGAAGAGGTGGCCTGGGGATATGAAATGAGGGACACGGTGGCCCAGAGGTGACAGATGGGGACATGGTGACACCGGGGCCACGCGGTGACAATCAGTGGTGGCTGTGGTCCCCTCCCCACTCACCCCGATGTCCCGTGTCCCCCCCTTTTCCCTCCCCCCCCCCCCCGTGTCCCCGCAGCACGTGCAGTTTTAGTGCATTGTGGGCGCGGGGCGGCGGCTCCGCCTCGTTATCCTTGTTATTAATTATTATTATTATTATTATTGTTATTATTATTATTATTATAAATGCGCATGTGGAACCTGAGGGGCTGTGGGTGTCATCCCTTGGGGACAGCAGGGACGTGGGGGGGTGGGGGGGGATATGGGGGATGTGGCCATGGGGACAATGAGGACGTGGGGTGACACTGGGATTTGGGGACATTGGGGACACTAGAGGCAGGAAGACACGAGGATTTGGGGACACGAGGGACATG